AATGTTCTATAATGTACTGGACCAACTCCTGCCTTCCTTTTAACAAGCATAGTGAATAGGAGCCATTCCCTCATCATTCACAGCACACAGATCTAACTGATGATTCTCTACCAGATGTTTGAGTATAGGAAGAGAGTCACTGTACTGACAGGTAATGTGAAGAACTGTTGATCCATTATGAGTCTTAGCTGCTACATTACACTGAGGAAGACTAGTGAGATAAAGTGCAACAGGAACATGACCTCCTTCAGATGCTTTATGAAGAGCTGTAATACCATTAGTAGTAGTGGCATTAATATCACAATGATACTTGTTGATCAATTGTTGTAGACAATGTAGCTTACCTTTATAAGCAGCTGAATGAGCTAGTGTGTACTTGTTTTTGCTAGTGTGATTAGTAATATCCACACTATACTCCTGACTGTACCATTCCAGTACATGAGTATGACCAGTCTGTGCTGCTGCATGTAATGCTGTTATGCCATATTTATCAGCAGCTAAAGGCTCAAGCTTATACTGTTGTATTAGTAATTGTACTAAATCAAGATTTCCTGATAAACAGGCTGAAGTGACACATCCTTGACCACATGTATCCTTAGCATTGACATCACATTTCATAACATTTATTAGAAATGTGACCAATTGAATATTACCACTCTCACAGGCTAAATGCAAAGCTGTTTGACCATTATTAATTTTATGCTTGAGGATAATGTCAATCAATTGACTTTCATCTGGTGATGTTAAATGATCTATAATGTACTGGACCAGCTCCTGCCTTCCTTTTAAACAAGCATAGTGAATAGGAGCCATTCCCTCATCATTCACAGCACACAGATCTAACTGATGATTATTTACCAGATGTTTGAGTATAGGAAGAGAGTCACTGAAATGACAGGTAATGTGAAGAACTGTTGATCCATTAGAAGTCTTAGCTGCTACATTACACTGAGGAAGACTAGTGAGATAAAGTACAATGGGAACATGGCCTCCTTCACATGCTTGATGAAGAATTGTACTACCATTAGTAGCAGTGGCATTAATATCACACAGATACTTGTTGATCAGTTGTTGTAGACAAGGTAGCTTACCTTTATAAGCAGCTAAATGAGCTAGTGTGTGTACTTGTTATTGCTAGTGTGATTAGTAATATCCACACTATACTCCTGACTGTACCATTCCAGTATATGAGTATGACCAGTCTGTGCTGCTGCATGTAATGCTGTTATGCCATATTTATCAGTAGCTAAAGGCTGAAGCTTATACTGTTGTATTAGTAATTGTACTAAATCAAGATTACCTGATAAACAGGCTAAAGTGACACATCCTTGATCACGTGTATCCTTAGCATTGACATCACATTTCATATCATTTATCAGAAATGTGACCAATTGAATGTTACCACTCTCACAGGCTAAATGCAAAGCTGTTTTACCATTATTAATTTTATGCTTGAGGATAGTGTCAATCAATTGACTTTCATTTTGTGATGTTAAATGTTCTATAATGTACTGGACCAACTCCTGCCTTCCTTTTAAACAAGCATAGTGAATAGGAGCCATTCCCTCATCATTCACTGCACACAGATCTAACTGATGATTCTCTACCAGATGTTTGAGTATAGGAAGAGAGTCACTGTACTGACAGGTAATGTGAAGAAC